TCCAATTTTTCCACATCCTCATCAACACTTAAAATCTTTTTAAAAATTATTATTATTATTACAACCATTTTAGTGGATTTAAAGTGGTATCATTTGTTTTTGGTTCAGATTGGCATTTTCTTTCTTTTTTTTTTTTTTAAAGATTTATTTATATAAGAACGGGGTACATTCACGGGAGGGAGAGAGGACTCACCAGAGACAGAGTGAGGAACAGAACAGGCAGACTGACAAAATACACTGCTGAGGGGAGCAGCGGGTGCGACAGGAGAGGTCTGCCATGCCATGTGGGACCTTCACCGGCCGATCGGCCGGGATCAAACTGGTGCTATAGAGGCTGTGGACAGCTTCACAGCGCGGCGCTCAACCGCCTGCACCACCAGGGGAGACCCAGATTGGCATTTTCTATAGTTTCTTTTAAGAACTATTTACTTAAATTCTTTGACTATTTTTTTTTATAATTAAGATACATTTATTGAATGTAAAGTTCAGACAGTGTGAAGTGCTTTATATGTATCATTTAATTTAATTCTCAAAGCAACTAGACGCTAGGTCAGGAGTTTGGGGTTAAAACTTAAAATATTGACAATTAATTCAAATTTCATTTTTTATTTTTCATTTTTATTTTATTTAATTTTTTATGTATTTTTAAGGATGAGAATTGTTTACTCATCTTGTTTTATTTTCTAAATATCTTTTATTTTATGTAATTCTTACATCATTTTTCATTTTTGCACAATGTATGCATTTTCATTTTGGTTCTATTCCCCATACAATTCCCACCCCCCTTATTTTGACCCTAATCTCTCCTCTTCTCCATCCCCCCACCCCGTAGTGTGTCTCAGGTTTATAGTTGCTTGTTGATTTTGATTTTTTCTTTATTATAATTAGTCTTTTTCCTGGTCCCTTATTTAGGTTTTCTAAATTCCTGCTATGAGTGAGACCATCTGGTATTTTCCTTTTTCTTTCTGGCTTATTTCTCTGAGTATGATCGCTTCCAGCTCCATCCATGTTGCTGCAAAATTGCATGAGTTTATCTTTTTTGATTGCTGAGTAATATTCCAGTGTGTGTGTGTGTGTGTGTGTGTGTGTGTGTGTGTGTGTGTGTGTATCTCACATCATATATATCAGTCATCTATTTTTGGGCATTTCGTTGTTTCCATAGCTTAGCTATTGTAAATAGTGCTACTATAATCATATGGGTGCATGTGCCCTTTTGAGTTAATGTTTCTGTGTCCTTTGGGTAAATACCTAGGAGTGGAATTGCTGGATCATATGGAAGCTCTATGTCTAGTAGGTCCAGAAATCTCCACAAAGCTTTCCATAGTGGTTGGACCATTTTGCACTCCCACCAGCAGTGCAGGAGAGTTCCTTTTTCTCCACATCCTTGTCAACATTTGTTACTAGTTTTTTTCATATGTGCCTTTCTCACTGGTGTAAGATGGTATCTCATTGTAGTTTTGATTTTCATTGCCCTGATTACAAGTGATGTTGAACATTTTTTTCATATGCCTGTTGTCCATTTGCATTTCCTCTTTGGAGAAGTTTCTTTTTAGCTCTTCTGCCCATTATTTTCTTTTTTTTGTTGCATCTCATCAGATCTTTGTAGATTTTTGTGATCAGTCCTTTGTCATTAGTGTTGTGTGCAAAAATTTTCTCCCAGTTGGTGGGGTTTCTCTGTTTTGGTTATTGTCTCTTTTGCTGTGCAGAAGCTCTTTAATTTGATGTAGTCCCAGCTGTTTATCTTTGCCTTCACTATCATGCTTTGGGTGATGTGTCTGTAAAGATGTTTTTGAGGTGCATGTCATGTAGTGTTTGCCTATATTTCCTTCTATATATCTTATGGTTGCAGGTCTTATGTCTAGTTCTCTAGTCCATTTTGAGTTGTTTTTTGTACATGGTGTGAGGTAGTGTCAATCTTCATTCTTTTGCATGTAGCGACCCAGTTTTCCCAGCATCATTTATTGAACAAACTTTCTTTGCTCCATTGCATATTCTTCAAAGATTAGCTGACTGTAAATCTGTGGATTTATTTCTGTATTTTCTATTTGGTTCCATTGGTCCATGTGTCTGTTCTTGTTCCAATACCATGCAGTTTTGATTATTATGGCTTTGTAGTTTAGTTTGAAATCTGGGAGTATGATACCTCCATTCCCTTCTTTTTTTTTTTCAGGAGAGCTTTGGCTATTCGGGGTTTTTGGTGGCTCCATATGAATTTCATCAATATTTGTTCTATTTCTTTGAAGAATGTCATTGAAATTGTTATTGGAATAGCATTGAATCTGTAAATTGCTTTTGGTCATTTTGATAATGTTAATTCTTCCAATCCATGAGCAGGGAATGTCTTTCCATTTCTTTGTGTCTTCTCCTGTTTCTTTTATCAGTGTTTTATAGTTTTCTTTGTATAGACCCTTTATCTCTTTTGTTAGGTTTATTCCCAAGCGTTTGATTTTTTTTTTTGTTTCAATAATAAAAGGGATGGTTTTCTTGATTTCTTCTTCCTCAGATTTATTGTTTATGTATTGGAAGGCTATTGGTTTTTGTGTGTTGATTTTGTATCCTGCCACTTTACTAAACTGATTGATTAGTTTAATTAGTTTTTCTGTGGAGTTTTGGGGTTCTCTATGTATATTATTGTATCATCTGCGACTCATGATAGTTTGACTTCTTTCTTGCCTATTTGGATTCCTTGTATGTCTTTCTCTTGTCTTTTTATTGCTCTGGCTAGGACTTCCAGTATTATATTGAAAAACGGTGGTGAGAGTGGTCATCCTTGTCTTGTTCCAGGTCTTAATGGGAATGCTTTCAGCTTTTCACCATTGAGAATGATATTGGCTGTGGGCATGTCATATATGGCCTTTATGATGTTGAGGTATGTTCCTTGTATCCCGAGGATTTCAAGGGCCTTAATCATAAATGGGTGTTGTACTTTGTTGAAAGCTTTCTCAGCATCTATTGATATTATCGTATGGTTTTTATATTTCTTTTTGTTGATATGTTGGATTACATTGATTTTCGGATGTTGAACCGTCCTTGTGTTCCTGGAATAAATCCTACTTGGTCGTGGTGAATTATCTTATGGATACATTGTTGGATTCTGATAGCTAAAGTTTTATTGAGGATTTTTGCATCAGTGTTAATTAGAGAGATTGGCCTGTAGTTTACTTTTTTTTTGTGTTATCCTTGTTCGGTTTTGGTATTAGTGTAATGTTGGCTTCATAGAACGTGTTTGGTATTATCCCTTCCTTCTCAATTTTTTGAAAGAGTTTGTGAAGAATAGGCACTAATTTGTTTCTGAATGTTTGGTAGAATTCATTTGTAAATCCATCTGGTCCTGGGCTTTTGTTTTTGGGGAGGTTTTTGATTACCACTGCAATTTCACTTCTTGTAATTGGTCTGTTTAGGTGTTCTATTTCTTCTTTATCTAGCTTTGGGTGATTGTAGAGTTGTAGGAATTTGTCCATCTCTTCTTGATTGTTGAACTTGTTTGCATATAACTGTTCATAGTAGTTTCTGATTATTCTTTTGATTTCTGCTGTGTCTGTTGTGATTTCTCCTCTTTCATTTGTGATCCCATTTATTTGTGCTTTCTCCCTTTTTTCTTTTGTCTTTTGTGAGCCTGGCTAGGGGTTTGTCTATTTTATTTATTTTTTTGGAGAACCAACCTTTGGTTTCATTGATCTTTTGGATTGTTTTTTTTTTTTTAGTTTTGATTTCATTTATTTCTGCTTTGATTTTTATTATTTCTTCTACTAGTTTTAGGGTTTTTTTTGTTGTTCTTTTTCTAGTTCTTTGATCTGTGAGATTAGGTTGTTTCTTTGAGTTCTTTCTTGTTTCTTGATGTGAGCCTGTATTGCTATATATTTTCCTCTTATTACTGTTTTTGCTGCATCCCGTACATTTTGGAAATTGGTGTCCTCCTTGTCATTCAACTCAAAGTATTTTTTAATTTCTTCTTTGATCTCCTCATTAGTCCAGTGGTCTTCCAGTAGTGTGGGTTTCAATCTCCATGAGGTAGGAGAGTTCCTTGCCATCTTTTTATGGTTTATTTCTAGTTTGATGCCTTTGTGGTCAGAGAAGATGGTTGGTATGATTTCAGTCTTGATGTTTCTGTTGATGTTTGTCTTGTGTCCCACTATGTGATCAATCCTGGAGAATAATCCGTGTACACTTGAGAAAAATGTGTACTCAGATTTTTTTGGGTTTAGTGTTCTATAGATATCTGTTAAGCCTATGAGGTCTAGATCCTTATTTAGTGCTTTAGTGTCTTTACTTATTTTTTGTTTCTTTGATCTATCCATTGTTGATAGTGGTGTGTTGAAGTCTCCTACTACATAGCTGTTTTCTCTGATGTCTGTTTTCAGAGATGATAATAATTGTCTGATATATTTTGGTGCTCCTTCATTTGGTGAGTATATGTTAATGAGTGGTATTTCTTAAGTATTTTCCCCTTGATCATAATGTAGTGACCGTCTGGGTCTCTTTACCTTTTTGAGTTTGAAATCTGTTTTATCTGATATAAATATAGCTGTTCCTGCCTTCTTTTTTGGTCCATTTGCTTGTAGGATTGTTTTCCATCCTTTTACTTTCAGTCTGTTTTTGTCTTTTGTAGTTAAGTGAGTTTCCCCTCTGACTTTTTAAACTGGCTAGTATTTCTTTTGTTAAGTTGTGATTGTTTATGTATCTAGACTGTAGACCCTTATCAGATACGTAATTTGCAAGTATTTTTCCCTGTATTTATGTTGCCATTTCATTTTCTTGATTAGTGTCCTGGAAGCAGAAATATTTTGATAAAATTTATCTTTTTTGGTTGTTGCTATATTTTAGACCTGTTAATTTATTATTTTTGTGTGTCAGGAAGTGATTTCTGCACATTACTTGATCTTGCATTAAGATGTAATCATACTATATTTTTATTAGCATGGAAGACTGATAAGTTAGTATAAGAGGTTTTTACATTTTTTCCTTTTTAAAATTTTGTCTGAAAATTTTGTCTGTTACAGTTCTATAGTGTCAACTCTCCTTGCTCTTATGGATGGATTAGACAACAGGGGTGAAATTGTTGTTATTGGTGCTACAAATAGACTTGATTCTATAGATCCTGCTCTCAGGAGACCTGGTCGTTTTGACAGGGAATTCCTTTTCAACCTGCCTGATCAAAAGGTAAAAGTTTCTGTTTTTAAAACTAAGATTTCTGATTTATATATGTGAGCCATATATAAATACATACTTTGAGAGTGGTGTTTTATGATTTTTCATTTAAAAATATTTCTGCATGTAGGATATGAATATTGTCATCTTTTTTTCACCAAATAATTATAAGAAAGTTTGATTTTTAGGGAGAAGAAAACTGTTTTAGGTTGCTATATAGATACTTGCTTACTCTTTAATTCTCCAGATTGTAGTTATTACCTTGTATGGCAGGTTATGTGTCTCTGGTTAGCCAAAGTAGCTTTGTTCTCATAAGAGTAACATTTGTATATACAGTATTGAAGGATTTGTTAATAAGAACCTAGTACCAAATTTTCATAGAAATGATTATAACCTATTTAAATAAAGCAGACAATGTTATTAGAGTTTTTAAAATAATGTATAATTAAAAGAGGGTAATGCATAGTGAATGAGTATGTAGACTATTATTTAATCAATCATGTAAATTTTTTTTACCCATTCTACTTGAAATTTTTATTGTTAGTCTTGCTTTAACTAGTTTAATCATTCTCTGTCTCTTCACTGGGAGCTCAAGTTTGTGATAGAGGGAATATATTACTTTACAACTTTTGACAATGCTTTTCATTTAATTGATCCATCAATAAGCCAAATTAGAACATTCATAAATATACAACTGTAATCTGTTACCTGTACATCTGAAGAAAGCAGAGAAGATACTATATGTGAATATATATGTATATATACTTGTTATGTGGTTTTGACTTAAATCATAGGTTTTACGGTAAACAAGATCTAGAACAGCACTGTCGAATCATTTTTCTATGATGATGGAAATGTTCTGTGCAATGTCCACTGTGGCAGCTATTAGCTACATGTGGCTTGGCACACTTGATATGCTACTGGTGTCACTGAGGAACTGAGTTTAAAATTTTATGTAAGTTAAAATAGTTAAAATTTTATGTAAGTAAAATAGCATATCATGGCTGGCGGCTTATACTGTATTGCATAGACCTTGACATAGCTTTCTATACTAATTTAAATTAATTTTCTGTATTTTAAGGAAACTGTACTATGAGACCTAAACTTTAGGTCATTCTTTCCAGGCTTGGGTCTGTGGAAAAGGCCTGGACTAGCTATCCACTTTTTTCCTTAGATAATATTTAAACTCTAGGGACTAGGTGAGATTGCCAAGTCCTCTGTCTTAACGAACAGTCAGTAAGGTAAGAGGAAAACTAGGCAAGTGGGCTTCTGGAAGCCTTGTAAAGAAAAGTGTATTAATGAAGAGGGAGAAATTAACTGTGTCAAATGTTGCTGAATTAAATCAGAGGAGACAGAAAATTGGCTAATCTATTTAACATATATAGGTCATTGGTAAACCTGTGGGAATCATTTCAGTTAGTGGTGGGTGTAAAAAAGCTTGACTGGAGTATGGTTTGTTTAAGAGTAGGAGGGAAGGAAGTGAAGATAATTAATGAAGATGAGTTTTTTTTTTTTTTTTTTTTAAAGAAGATTGCTGCAAAAGGAAGCAACGAATTGAAGGATAGAGGTTGGGGGGAAGTAGGGATAAGAAAAAGGTGTCTGTTATTTTTAAGATGGAAGACATATCAAATAGAGAAGGAAATTTCGGTGATGAAATTGAGAAAGGACAATTGTCAGAGGATGTCCTTAATAGACAAGAGGAAATGGAAACTAGTATAAATGGTGAGATCACATTAGCAATTGCATAGTTCATTTGTGATAAAAGGGACAAGACAGAATATTGCTGACAAGTGCTTAGATTTGTTGTGGGTGGCTTTAGAAGTTTTCTTCAATTTTCCCAGTGAATTGAGAAGCAAGGTTTGAATATAGAGAATCTGTGAACTAGTTTGCTAGGATTGAGGGCAGTAATAAGGATCCATTTGGTGATGCCAGTCATTGTTTCATATAAGTCATTTGTGCAACAGATTGCCACACCTCTTTGTTATTTGACCAAGTAAATGTAAAATAAAAGTAAAAGTAAGCCTTATTTCCAAATTTTAATAATGTTTTTATCTTTTTATCAGCATAAAAATAAAATGCCTTCTTTATGTAGCAGTTTTAAATTTTTTATTTTCCTATATAATCATTATCAATACTGATATAAGTAGAATGTGTGTTTACATGTGAGTGTGACCATGCATTTGTGGATCCTTGAAAATGAGGGGCTTGAATTTGCCTTTGACTCTTAAAGTTGAAGAAGTCATATGATTTACTATTCTGTAGGCCATATAGAGTTAATTGCAGAGCAAGACATTTCTTGATTAGATAATTGCTTTTTTGTTCTTGTTTTTATGATAAAAAATGATTTGTTTGATTACATGTAGCGAAAGAACAAGATAATTAAATGTCTTAGCGATCTGACAATCTTAGGTAGTAATTATACCTTACTTGGATGGTAACTAATTTTATTTCTCTAAACTTTTACTTTCCTATTTTGTAAAGTGAGGGGATAAGAATGGGTCCTTTTTGATCTATATACAGCACTGTATATAGTTCTTAATGTCATCTTCTAGAGCATTTAAGTTCTTACTAAGTTCATAAAAGTTCTTACTTTTTTTGGGTATCTTGATTTTATGCTTTTATAGTACTTCAGGCAGATACTTCAAGTTGAAAGAAAATTATTGTTACATCATTGTTTTAGCTGAACACCTACTTAGATCTTGGATTTGTAACAATTGCTATTCATTCCAGATTTTGTAAACGTTTTGAGGAAGATTTATTTTGACTTCTTTGAAGTTCATTTTGTTTTAGCCCTTAATACCAAATTCCTCATCAAATTAAGTAAGAAGTAGCATTGTGGAGGGAACAAATATATTCAAGTTTTAGAAAAGTGTTGTTTTTCCCTTGAGAAAAAGGATAATGTGGGGGAAAAAAATCTGATAAAATGACTCTTCATGGTAGTACTATCAGCTGATTATGGATTCTTGTACCTCAGGTTTTGTTTTTTTTTTTAACTATGGAAAACAAGTTTGGATTGTTTTGAAACCAAGATGGTAAAATTTTGGTTTTCAGATTTAAGGTAGAGCATGCTGCTTTAAAAAAATCTTCAAACCTTTTATTTTTCAATGAGTTCAATTACTATTTACTGAAATTATCTTGTTATGTAATAAATATCAATGCATCAACTGAAATAGAAGTTAATAATATGCATTATATTTCTTAAACACTTTTTCAGCTTCAAATTTTAGCTCATTACTGGTTATAATGCTTGTGTATACTATCAAACTAAAAGTTTTATGAAATCTAAAATTTGTTTAAAAAGTTATGATAATTATAATCCATTCTGGTTCTTGTACATGTTTTCAAGTTGTAAAAATGTTATGGAATATTGAAATTTTGTTTTGAAATCTATTCCTGCATCAGTCACTTAGTCATTATGTGCCACTGGTCAAGTTCCTTTGCCTCTTGAAATACTAATACTTAGTTTGTAAAACAAAGGCAAGATTTCTACTCTATATCTTGCAAAGTTGTTACAGGAATCAGAGTTGATATAGCTTTAAGGTGTTTAAATTTCTTTAAAAATAAGCAGTTTTTCAGCCCAAATGCCCAAAAATAGATGACTGGATCAAGAAGATGTGGTACATATACACCATGGAATATTACTCAGCATTCAAAAAAGATAAACACATGCAATTTGCAGCAACATGGATGGCGTTGGAAGGGATCATGCTCAGCGAAATAAGCCAAAAAGAAAAAGAAAAATACCGGATGGTCTCACTCATAGCAGGAATCTAGAAAACTTAAATAAGGGACCAGGAAAATGAATAACTATAAGAAAGTGAAAATCAAAATCAACAAAAAACTATGAACCAGAGACACTTTTTGGGGGGTGGGAGGCGGGAGGGGAGGGATTGGGGTCAGAATGGGGCGTTTGCAATTGTATGGGGGAATATAAAAATAAAATTTATTATTTAAAAAAAAAAGAAAATAGAAACCCCCCCCCCAAAAAAAAAAAAAGCAGTTTTTTTCCTGGGGTATTAGTACATACATTTGTTCCAGCTAATACACTTGATAAGTTGATGATAATGTATTTATCTGTACTTTTCTTCTTAGGCAAGGCTTTATTTATCTGTGCTTTTTTTCGTAGGCAAGAAAACACATTTTACAGATCCATACCAGGGACTGGAATCCAAAATTGTCAGATGCTTTTTTAGGTGAATTGGCTGAAAAGTGTGTTGGTGAGTGCTATTATTTGAATTCTTTGTTTGCTATTGCTCTGCTCAGTCTCCCTTTCCCCTTATGTTTGAAGTGTGAATGAGTATAGTTATGTCTTTGTACTATAGATGGCTCTGCCTTTAAATGTAAAAATTATTTAAAAAATTTCACTTGAAGTTTGAACATGTCTAAGTTGGAATTTTCACTACCATTAGGTATTCAATTAACAAAGCTCAGTAGTAATATGTCTGTCATTGAATGCTGTGTTTCCATAATATTACCACAGTGTCTCTTAGGAATTGTGTTCTCTCAGAAATTTTATTAAGGAAAGTAAGTTTAAAGTTGAGAGAGAAAGGTCCTTAGTAGAGGCAGGGCTGTAGTTGCTTACTTTGCAGATTACTTAATATACTCATTTTGGTGCCTGTGGTCTAGAAAGAAGTTGAGTGAGAGGAGTTGTCAAAGAAAACACTTACTGGCATCTGCAGTTATTTCCCCAATGTAAAACTTTGTGATTTAATGTTAAATTATTCAGAGTGGGCGCTCTTGAAAAAGTGGATAACTGTAACTGTCCTAAAAGGACATGGTAAGAATATTTTATAATGTATACATGGTCATATATAGGAGATGGAATTCAGGATTTTGGCTCTAAATAGGTCTGAAATAAAAATGCATGAGGTTTTATGAATTTGGTATATACACAGGTATTTTTCCTCCTTCTTTTGCTGTCTTTTGTCTGTTTTCCTCTCATTCTCTCAAAAATATAAATTAAACAATATCTCCATGACATTTTAAGCATTATGAAGAAATTCCCCAAATAAGTCCACTAGCAAGTAACAGTCTACTTAGGAAAACTTTAAAGTTACCCAAACCAAAAAGAACAACTTAGTTAAAAATCATTGTGATTCACCATCAAATAATTAAAACTTAAATAGAACATTAGTCCATTCAGTTAGCTACATCCGAATTATCCTCTTCATCCACAGGGACCTCCATCTCCGAAGCAGCATCCCTCAGCTTTTGAACCACAAAGACCTCGACATCTTCTGGTGAGGAGAAAACGTAAATCTCTCCAGCACTACTCCAGTTTAAGCTTTGCCTGGTATAAGAGAGCATGCGCCAAACCCATTTCATGTAAATTTGGCTTAACCTTTGCAAAGCCTTGTGCTGCTTTATGGGAGAGGGTGGTATTTGGTACAAAATCCCGTCTTTTCCCATTTTTGAAATTTGACCCCTTTTATTTCTTGCTAGTTTTATGATATTATTGTATGAGAGTATAGTCCACACTGGGAAATATTTGCAGATTTTTCTGTGAATTTGTCACAGAATAACCCTTAATTGAAATAAGCAGAAGTTGCCATATAATTTTGGAAATTCCCTAAAAGATAGGTTTTGTCCTGGCTACCACCTGAAATATTATACACACTATTTTAGTTCTTTATCCTAGATATTAGGATCTTAGTTTCCATTTTCATTTCTCAAGGCCAGCACTTCTCATTTTCTAAGTGATTTGTTTTAGTTTTTAGTCAGTTTCTTAAGTTAAAAATTTTTAAGTGTATTTTCTTACAGGATTAAGTAACTTTTTTTTGCCTTTTTTTGTGGTATTCAGTTAGAAAACACACACACACACACACACACCATTTTCTTCATGGAGAGTGACATAAAAATCCTTTGTTACTTCTGGTTTTAGTTGTGACTTTTTTTTCCACTTAAGAAACCAGTCAGATTAAAAAAAAAATCAAATGTAGGTCTTCAAATAGTAATGAAAAAGTCATACATATTAAATTTTTTATGAACTTTTCACTTTATATATTCCAAACATGCTTGTAAGAGGAATGGATCTAGTTCAGTGGACTTTATGCCCAACAAAGGGATGTGCAGTTTTGATGAACAAATGAACATAGTTGACCTCTTATTAGAGGTTATATGGATTTAGTAACTTTTATCTTGAAATAAATCCCCACGTATTTGGAGTTGTTTACATGTATAATAGGTATGATTTTTAAATCTTCAAATAATTTTGGTATCCAGAATATGTGCACAAATAATAGAAACTTAAGATTATTGAGGAGCTCAAACCTAGTCTTATTACTTTTTTCCATTTTCATAGAGGAGGCTAAAAACAATAAAAATGTGTCAGTGGGCCTTCTTTATGTTTGATTTATTTAAAACGTTAATTTATAAAAAATATGCCTTGTGTTAGATAGTGCTTGAATAACTTGTTTTCAGCTTTCAAAAATTTTTTTTGTATCTTAATAGCAGTATTTAAGAATGCGTTTCTTTGGTATCAGTTGGTAAATATTTGTATTCATCAGAGTATTAGAATTATGATAGTAAAATTAGTGGGGTTATGGAATTCTTATGAAAGGGATGTTGATAATATTTTTAACATTAACTTTTAACTTTCAAAAGGCTGTAGCATATCTTCAGTATTTCTAGAATGATTATATATGCTTTCTTTAAAATGAAGATCCTTTTGAGGGTGAAAAAAATAGTCTAATTTTGACAAGAGGCTTAAACCAAGATATATGGTCACCCTAAATGTAATCTATCTAACCATGGTTAGGATGTGCTTTCATTTCAATTAATTCTGTTTTAGAGTTTAGTAAAGGAAGTATATTAAATCAGTTCTCATTTTTTTTGTATATCAGAATCATTTGTTTAACTTTCTCATAATATGTGTTTATGGTATTAAACCTCCGGAAATTCTGAGTAAGTTTATTGTGAACTTGAGAATCTGTTCTTGCTTTAGTTTCATATGTTTATTCAGATATGTGGTCGAGGTTGAGAACCACACATACAAACCAATAAGTCTCATTCACAAATTAATGTAAAGTAGATAAACCCTATCTTTTATAGTGAAAATTTTGCTTCCTTGTATGAGGTCTATTATTGTGGGCAGACTCTTAAATTATCTGTAATAAAGAAAAAGTGAACAACACATCGCTATTATGTATGCTATTAACATGTTGTAGGAACCATTTATACATAAAATTTCTCTTAGTATCTTTTTTCCATTTTGCTTTGTTTCTGAGCTTTTTTTTTAAAAAAAAAAAAACCTGAGACTTTTGCTCTTAAGATAGTACCATATGTTATGTTTACCAACTGTGTATATACTTTTAAGGAAGTTAAAGAAATAATGGTTGTTTCTAGTGTTTGAAGATGATAGTCTGTTCTTCGATTCCTCAGAAATGGTTCATTTTGTTAACGAGTTAGCTGGTGTTCTGCAGTTCGTTTGTTGAACTAATGTAACAGGTATTTTTACGATAGGGAAAAAAACCACCTCTTTTCAGATTTACTTATTGAGACAGAAAATATGAGACTAATGGCAAATTTGATTGCTCTGAAGAATTATTTGGGAGATTGTTTGCTCTCATGGGGCAATGTTAATTTTAAATCTGTTACAGTTTTCTGAATTAAATTCTCACATAGTAACCCCCTCATTCTGAATAAGTGTTTCTTTAAGAATGCAATACTTTTCTATGCTTTTTTTCATAATTTTCACTGATAATTTTACTCACAGTAAGTTGACTTAACAGTAAAGTAATTTATATTAGGGAAAAAAAAGTCTGGTAGATATGAATAATCTATTTCTTGTTAGTACAGGGTATCCTTAACAGTTTCTTCTTTTCCATTCATTCTTTCACTCAAGATATATTTATTGAATGTTTCCTGATTGACAGTCCAGGTGTTGTTCTTGGTATTTGAAATGCATTTGTGAACAAAATAGACAAATATCTCTGCTCTTACAAAGCTCACATTCTAATTGGGGAAGGCAGACAGTAGCATAATGAGTAATGATAAGGTAGTAAATGCTATGGAATAAGAGAGCAGGATAAGGAGAATTTTTCTGTTATTTTTAAGACATGATTAACAGGATCATTTGCTCTACCTGTAAGAGGAATATACTACATTATAGATGTTTGTCTCAGTTTTATTTGTAGATTTTATTCCATGATGTTCTTTTTCTACCAATTAGTTAGGATATTTCTTCTCTGTTCATACTTTCCCTGCCTAACCACCATTTTATTTCAGTATTTATTTATTTTTTTTAAAAAGATTTTATTTATTTATTTATACAAGCACTGGGTACAGTCAGAAGGGCGGGAGGGTGAGAGAATTCACCAGAGCCAGAGGGGGGAGCAGAGCAGACAGAAGGACCCCAGCACACTGCTGAGGGGAGCAGCGGGCGGCAGGAGAGGTCTGCACACCATATGGGACCCTCCTCCCGTGGGCGGGGAGCAGCCAGGGATGGAACTGGCCCTGCAGAGGCCCCGGGCAGCCTCGCAACCCAGCGCTCAACCGCTGCGCCACCGGGGAGGCCCCTATTTCAGTATTTAAATGCCCCATAAGATCACTGTGCATTATAAGAACATAAATAAACCTGATACTATGCTGATATTTAGGGACTAATGTTATGTAACTAGTTCAAGTGGTTCCCCCTACTGGCATGATTGATAATGATGGCCCAAGGCAAATTTAGTTGCTGATATAAAAAAACGACATGGGACCAGTATGAATTTTTCCCCTTTTTATGGTAAACACCTAGCAGCTCATAGGTTTTTGTATGTATTTGTTGCTCAATGAATGGAATTACTTAAAGCCACTGGGTGACTTGATCTATTATTTAACTATATAACCAATTAAATATAACTAATGGTTAGGTATAGTCTTTATCACTAGATTGTAAGGTATTTTAAACTAAAAAGTATATAAAAAGGATATTAATGTGGAAAATTAATGGATTCTTATTCCCTTTAATGCCTGTCAGAGGTGATCACAACTTTAAAATGTGTATTTTTTGGACTACTTGGATATTGACTTTACTGTAGGTTGCAATCAGAGTTGGTAACAGAATAGCTCATTTTTGAAGTTTTCATTGTATACTACTTTATACTTACTCCATTATGTGTTTGAAACTTAGGAATATTAGAAACAATTTGGTAAGTGTAATATTAAGAGAAGTAAGCTAATGATTTGGAATATTCCTGAAAAAGGTTGTATGTTATAATCAGTAGTCTTGCACAAAATTTATGATTTAAAAATATTATTAGTTAATTTAAATATTCAAAACATTTTTAGTCTTAATGAGTAAATTTTATTTGGTGTTTTTTAATTAGCACTTTTCATTTGCTGTTAAAATTACACATAATTATTGATTTAGTATTGATTATTTCCTTAGGTAAAGATGTGTATATTTACAAAACATAATTGTTACTTGGAAGAATGAACTTACCTTTTTTATCCTTTTCTTTTTGTGCATTAGGCTATTGTGGAGCTGATATTAAGGCCCTGTGCACTGAAGCTGCCCTGATTGCTCTGCGGAGGCGTTACCCCCAAATCTATGCTAGCAGTCATAAACTGCAGCTAGATGTTTCCTCGATAGTGCTCAACGCCCAAGATTTTTACCATGCAATGCAGAATATAGTGCCTGCTTCTCAGCGTGCTGTTATGTCTTCGGGACATGCACTATCTCCCATCATAAGACCACTGCTGGAAAGAAGCTTCAACAACATCCTAACAGTCCTACAAAAAGTGTTTCCCCATGCTGAAATTAGTCAGAGTGACAAGAAAGAAGGTACTTTACTTTTTCATGTTGTTAAAATGAAACAACTACAGGCATAAGTAATTAGAGTCTAAGTTTCCTCATAAGGTAGTTTATGTGTTATGCTCCTCTGTATTTGCCATGAATATAGAACATGTATCTATATTCATTTTATTCGTCACCTTATATTTCAGTTCTGCCATATTGCCTAACATGGTAGGTAGTTGCCTAGTGAATGTTTATAAAAGAGTAAATGTTTCAATGTTTGTTCACTCTTGGGCCATTGTAACTATCTTACTATAGGAGTGTTACTATCTTTAGAAAAGTTGACTATAATAATAATAATAGTCACTTAGCATTGACTTTTAAGTTATAAGGCCCATACCATAAATTTCCCTTGTTAATCTTCATGACATGTGAGGTAGGTACTGTCATGGAGTTGCTGATTTTCATAACTGAGGCTGTCTGGCTTTTCTCCAATATTTTTCATTAAAAATCTTAGAAAATTTTAAAATATATTCCTTTCTGAGGTTATGAAAGCACCTTTATTTCCTTTGGAGAGGGTTTTTTTTTATAGCATTATTTGTGTTTTCAGATATTTTTCATAAATAAAAGCATGTTTTAGTTCTAGTTTTTCTTAATGTACCAGTGGAGAAGTGAAACTACATTTTGTTTGATACTTACTATTTTTTAGCTATTTAGATTTATGATTTGGGTTGTTTTGGCGTTTAATATTTTTTTTTCTGGACAAATACCCTTTTCTTGTGCATGAAACTATTACTCAAAAAATATTCAGTTATTTTCAGATTCGCTTTTACAGTGTTAGTTGTACTAACCATTTAGCTTTTGAAAGCCACTGAGATCTGTATCTGCCAGTGTAGTACAGTATCTCATTTTAGAAAACATCATATCCTCTTTTTCAAAAGCAAGTCTCTTTTTTCCTTCATGTTTTTGGGGGAAAGGTATCATTTCTGTCAATCTTAATTCTCTTCCATATCTTTTAACATGCAGCATTGCTTTTTATTTAATGAATCAATAGTTTTGTTAGGTATAAGTTAAATACTTCTATTCATACTTTAAGGTTGTAGTGCAGATAATAAGCATTGTACTCTTCAGTAGGAATTTTTTTCATTCATTCATTTCAGTAGGGATTTTTGTTCATTGAGTTTTAACTAAAGACTCAATTATAAACAAGTGTTACTTAAATGAATGGATGTTTAAAAGTAACTTTATTACCATTGAATTTCTGACTCTCATTGTAACTACACTAGGTTTTCCTCCAAAAGGTGTGCATGTATTTGTGTTCTACGTGAAAAAGTAAGAGTCTCTTTTTGCTCTTTGTTGTTGCTTTTTAAAGAACTGGCCATAGGGCCTCCATGGTGGTGTAGGGGTTAAGTCTCAGTGCTATCAGCGTTATTCAACCATCACCATTGCAGTCTGAGTTTGATCCCCAGTCAGGGAACTAACCCACATGGTGCAGCAGACCGGTCTTTTCTTGCCTGCTGCTCCTCTCAGCAGTGTATTTCAGTAGATCCTCTTGTCCTCCTCCCCACTCTGTCTTTGGTGAATCTTCTCACCCTCCACACCTCTGGCCTATACCCCAGTTCTTCTGTGTATTAATAACATAAATCTTAAAAAAAAAAAAAGAACTGGTTGTAACTCAAGTATACCCTATTAATTAAAACAAATATGTGAAATATACTGGTTTTGGTCAAAGTTAATTTAGAGACTTTTAATTAGTGGGTAGATATTTTATATTTTATAAGAGTGCCATTTCTTTCCCAGACTTTCAGAGGCACCTCATAACACTATAAGTAGTCTATAAAGGTGAAAGAAAACATTAATTCTGTTAATATTCAAAGTACCATAGTTTGTCAATTTGCAGTGTTAGTATTATTTGATTATTTATTAATGTCACTTGATTTTTAAACCAGTTTACTTAGCTTTCATAAGACACTAATATTTTTTTTTAAATGATTTTTTTTTTTTAATAGAGGCATGTTTATTTATTTGTTTGTTTGTTTGTTTTGTTTATACATGCACTGGGCACAGTCAGAAGCGCGGGAGGGTGAGAGAATTCACCAGAGCCAGAGCGGGGAGCAGAGCAGGCAGAAGGACCGAAGGACACTGCTGAGGGGAGCAGCGGGCGGCAGGAGAGGTCTGCGCGCCATGTGGGACCCTCCTCCAGTGGCCGGGGAGCAGCTGGGGATCGAACCAGCGCCGCAGAAGCCGCGGGCTGCTTCGCAACCCAGCGCTCAACCGCTGCGCCACCAGGGAGGCCCCGTAAGACACTAATATTAAATGACTTTATAAACTTCATTATCTTTGTAATTTTTCCTAGCAGATATGGAAACTCTAATTTTAGATGAGAGTGAAGATGAGAATGCTTTATCAATTTTTGAGACCAGTTGTCACTCAGGATCACCAAAGAAACAGTCATCCACTGCTGCTGTGCGTAAACCCTACCTTCATTTTACAATGTAAGTGTTTCGTATCAGATTGCTTCCAATTTAAAGTGATTTTTATGACTGTATGGTAACAATTGTATTTTTACTTATGGTTGTAACCCTCAGGACTTTGTTTTCTGTTGTTTAGACGCGATTCTGGAAGACTTACTGTATAAACTTCTGTGTGTAAATGAATTGGTTTATTGGTCAGTGGCAGGTGTTTTCTCTCCCCCCCAAAAAAAAAACACCAACAAAAACAAACTGTGTGATTTTTTAATTTATTTTTAAAAAAGATTTGTTTTTATTTATTTAAGCATACAATAGCTGGGGTGTAGGCCAGAGGTGCAGGGAGTGAGGGGATTCACCAGAGACAGAGAGGGGAGCAGAACAGGTAGATCTACTGAAATACACTGCTGAGGGGAGCAGCAGGAGAGACTTAGAGAGTCTGCTGAGCCCTTTGAGTTAGCTGCCTGGCAGGAGATCTGAATTCTTTGTTGTGGTGGCTTGAGATAGCGCTGAGACTTAACCTCTGCACCTCCAGAGAGGCCCTATGTGATTTTTTTTTTTTTTAAAGTACAGGGAACTGAGGTGCGTGGGTGCATTGGTGAAGGAAACTCTATGGGGACTACACCTGAGGAGGTGGGAGGAAGCAAATATTGCTTAAAAATGAACAATGATGTAAAAAAAAATTAAATAAAAAAAATAAAGCAGGATGGAAGGAAGGGCTACCTTTAGAAAGTCAGCTCATTTCCCCAATTTTATTGCTTTTATATTTGAGCTAAAATGGACAAATTATTTACGATGATCTGAAGTAATTTAATTTGCAGTAAGTTTCAGATGATAGTTTAGGGACTCTGGAGTACTAAAGAAATTGGTCAGTAATTAGGTAACTTTTGATTCTCCAAAACCTCATTGGCTTACACTTTCCTAATTTAGATTTTATGGGTTTTCTATTTACATTTACCTTTATCTATGTTAAAGCAACTTTTGCTTTGTGCTCTCTAATGGGTAAACAATTTTAGTGTAAATGTAGTTTTAAATTAAGAGACCAAATAGTTTTGGGAAACTAATAGCATGATCATTAGCATTTACACAGTTAGCATGCTAGTTAAAGGATCATAAATGCTCCAGTCAGGTAGGTCTAATGACACTTTTATTAGAAAAGGCTGGATTATGTGCGCTTTTAAGTAACTTTTCTTTAGAGATATTTTGAACAAATTTAAGTCTTTCACTTAAATCGAAGTTTCTCCCATGTAGATTTGGTGAGATGTTAATTTGATTATTTGCATTGATAATACTTTGAATTTCATTTTTAAAATTAGACTAAACTACTTTGATCTACTCTTTTTTTTTTTTTTTTTTTTTTGTGTGTTTTTTTAACAACATGTTCTTTCATTGGAAACTTTTTTCTTCTACTCCAGATCCTTTCTTTTATGCTTTCAGGGAAGTTTACTTGAGCAGTTTCAGCAATTGTGCAATCTGGTTTGTTGATGGTTGAGAAAACCAGACAGTTTTTAACCTGGCTTGTGTGTGTGTGTGTGTTACTGTTCTGACAGTTTTAGTTATTTACATTTGAAATATTTAATAGCAGGAGCTAAGACACTATAAAAACACACATGTTCCATTTTTATAAGATCTGCTGTAAGTGAAATGATACAAAAATAGATTTTGATGTTAGCAAACTTCATGTGCAGTTTTCATCTTGACTTTTTATTAAGAACATTCTCTACTATTGGTTTAATGTATGTTACTCTTATGGCTCATCTTGTTTTGGTTAGCCTTTCTGAAGGAATTGGTTTATTTTAGTTACTTTTAAATAAACTTTCCTTGTTCATTGATTAGACTTTGATTTAATAGTGAGGCAACTGTAATTTAGAATAAATTTTTTTTTTGGTTTAGTGCTTCAATAAATTCCATTCTTTTATTTCTTTATTCAACCCACCCATTCTGCCAATTTTTATGTATTTACTCTCTGCCAGGCACTGTATGAGGTGTTGAAAACATGAACAGGATTAAGATAAAATGTAGTTCTTATTTGAAATATAATAAGTTGATAAAATTGTAATGTAGTTGAAGTGCTATATAAGCAGAACTAAAAAGCTTCCACTTGGAAGTCCAGGAAGGCTTCATGGAAGAATTGGTGACATTTACTCTCTTTTTGATATGTAGGAATAGGAGTCAGCATCTGAGTGCTCATTACAAGCTTGATATTTGGTAGGTATATAAAGCTGTGGACTTTATAGTAATACATACGTCCCTTTCAACAATCATATAGCATTTTGTGGTATCATCATTTTACAGATGAGGAAACTAAACCACAGAGAAGTTAAGTAAATTGTCCATGATCATGCTGCTAGCAGGTGGCAGAGCCAGGCTCTGTACTGTTTGTTTCCTGGGATCATATTCTTTCTGTTATATATGTGGTATCCAAATTGATTTCTGAATAGGTAGGTGAAGAATTATATTGCTTTTTTGTGTAGGTTGGATGATGCGATTTTTTTATACTTTACAAGAAGCGTATGCTTTAGAATATAGATTTTCAATAGCAGCTATATGTGGTTTTGGGTCAGTTTGGTCTGGATTGGTTTTCTGTTTGAACAACATGTGTTTGCATATCCAGATCAATAAAAAAAAGGTGCTAGACAAATCAAAAGCTTGACTTTAATGCTGTTCTTCAGTAACAGCATTGCTGGTGTGTTTCTATTTTTGGGAATATCTCCTAAAGCAATTTTAAAACGTTTTCTTTAGATTTAAGGTGAAATAAAAATCAAGATATTTAAAGTTTATCAATCTGGTAAAGAACCCTTATGATGGAAATTAAGGTTTCTTTCTTTCTGTACATAACCATAAAAGGATTAGAAACAGGTTTCTGAGGTTTTCCAAATGAAAATAGCTTTGTTTTTTCTGATTAGAAAGATGATATACTCTATAGAAAATTCAAGTAATAAAGAAGAGCATAAAGAAGAAAGTAAAAATTAAAGCCCAAGCACCTGAAGGTAATATTTGTTAAAGTTTTGGTGACCACACTGCCCTATTCCTTTATGCACATAGACTGACCCACAGTATTTATATAAATTATATCCTTCAAGCTTGTTAATATAATTTGCTTTTTTATCTACTATGGGGGAATATTATTTTATATCAATGTTTAATGTCATTCTTATAAAATATCTGTAATTTTTTGGATGTTCTATAATTACATAACCTTATTGATAAGCATAGAAATTTAAAATTTTCCTCTTTTATACAAAAATTGTAGTGGTAGACATCTTTACAGGTATACATCTATACCTACGTACATCTAGGTATACATCTATATCTTTTTTCCGATTCAGAACTTAGGGTAAATTTAAGAACTACACTTCCTGTTTCAAAGGGTTTATACATTTAAGAACTTGATACGGGTTGGTAAATTGCCTTCTGGAAAATTTGTGCCAGTGCATATTTTCATCAGTAATGTATGAAAAGTACTTTTTCTAACTCCTCCCCAAGTCTGAGCACTGTCTTACTAAATCCGTACCAAGCAGAGATGAAAACAGTATCTTCTTGTTTGATTGAGTAATTGATTTTGTTTTTTCGTACATTTATTCACTCAAACATATTTTGTTAAAGTACCCATTATGTGCCAGGTGTTATATAGGAAGCTTTGGGAGTAGGATGAGTTGCAGAATATCCTTGGATATATGTTTTGTTTTACCTTTGTTAAATCAAATATAATGTGAGATAATTGTACTTTTTCCCCACTCCCACTTGTCCTGAGAATACCAATTTTTCATCATCTGCTCATGAATAGTGGGTATTAAAATTAATTTTTGGTTTCTTACTCTAACAGATAAAAGATGTTTCTCATTATTTTCTTAATTTTTCATCTATGTTAATAACTACCAAATTTGTCTGAAGCCTAGCTCACTCCTTAGCTTTTGACTCTGCGATGCCTATCTCCTTTTGTTGTGGCACAGATCTTGCAGTATATAATGGGACTGTGTTTCCCCTTTTCTACCTGTGAGTCCTACAGTTCATTCAGTTGTGCCAACTGGAATTGGGCATCATCCTCAATCCCTTCACTTCTGTATCTGGTCAATGACCAAGTCCTGTTGATTTTCCTTAAATAACTCTAATCTCAGACTTTGTCAATTCCTCTGACACTATTCTTAGTCTGTCATTAATATTTTAGGCCTGAATTATTATAGCAGACCCAAAAGTGGTCATTTTTCCTCCTGTGTTGCCTTCTTCAAAATCTTTTCCTATTATGGACATGCTGACCTAGTGTCATCTCCCAAGGATAAGTATGTGATTATGTCATGTCCTTTGCCTAAGCTTCTTAGTGCCTCCTCATTGTACTCCATGCACTGTCCAGTTTCTAACATGGCTCACAGAAGCTCTTCCTTTGTAACCCTTGATAGTCTGCTGTTGCTTCCCTTGCCCCTGCTCTAATCCCTGGGACCTTAACTACTACATTCCTTAGAACCTTAAAAATACCTGACCTTATGGAATGATATCAGTCACCCCAGAGTTCAGGTGCTCTTTAGCCTCTGATCTTTTGCACATCTTATTTTTATTTCTTGAAAATGTATCCTTTTTGTCTCCATTCTGTTGGATTTCTGCTTTGGTAACAGTTTTGCAGGAAAGCCTTCTCTGAGTCTGTAATTGGGGTCTCTGCTAGCACCCTGTACTTAAATAGGATCACTTATTAATTATGCTCAATTATAGTAATTTGTGTATTTCCTTTTCCCACTAAAATGCCATTTAATTGTGAACTGTCTGATAATAGTTGGATGCCTAGGGTTGAGACATTCAACACAGGAAGCATTTAAATGAATAATTTAATGGAACATTTAAACTGTTAACCTAGTTCTATTTTTTTGAACTGTTTATGTCTTTTGCCTGTGAAGATTTTATTTTTTTGTTAAAATTCTAAACTCTTCATAAATTAAGAATCATTCCTGTTAGGCCTCTCTGGTGGTGCATGGGGTTAAGCACTGTGATATGAAGCAATCTGCAGCCTCTGCAGCACGAGTTCCATCCCCGACCTGTCAGGGAGCAACCCACATGGCGCAGCAGACCTTTCCTGTTTCGCCCGCTGCTCCCCTCAGCAGTGTATTTCAGTCAGTTTGCCTGTTCTGTTCCCCACTTTGTTTCTGGTGAATCCTGTCACCCCCTCCACATCTTTGGCCTGTACCCCAGCTCTTGTATGCATAAATAAATAAATCTTAAAAACAAATCATTCCTGGGCCTCCCCTGGTGGCGCAGTGGTTGAGCGCTGGGCTGAGAAGCTGCCGCTGCCTCTGCAACGCTGGTTTGATCCCTAGCCACCGGCGAGGGTCCCACATGGCGCACAGCCTCTGCAGCACTGGTTCGATCCCCAGCCACCTGCGGGAGGGTCCCACATGGCGCGCAGACCTCTCCTGCCGCCCGCTGCTCCCCTCAGCAGTGTACTTCGGTCCTTCTGCCTGTTCTGCTCCCTGCTCTGGCTCTGGTGAATCCTCTTACCCTCCCGCACTTCTGACTGTACCCAGTGCTTGCATGAATAAATAAATAAATCTTTAAAAAAAAAAATCATTCCTGTTAATGGCAAATTCTTTGTCCATTATTTGACATTTGGTTTAGATCTAATTTTGAATTTTAAAATGTTTAGATTTTTATGAATTGAAAATACATTAGTCTTTTGTTTTTCTTATTTCTGTATTCATTGTATTTATTCTGTGAAATGAGGACTTGAATCTTTCTTATTTTAAAAAATGTTTATTTTATAATCCATCCCTGTTTCATTTACCTTTTATGCTTTTATTATGTCATATGATATTTTTTTAGTTACTGTGATTTGTTTCCCGGGCTGCCTATTATGTATACCAATCTGTGTTTCTTTTCTTTGGGATGGACCATATTCTATTGTTTTATTCTAGTCTGTAATATGCTTCAGAATAAAGTAGTGCACATCTTAACATAATGGTTTAGAATGTGTGACTTTGCAGGTATATGGACCTGAATGAGAATTTGAACACTTGTCATCACCCAGTTGTACAGTCTTGTAACTAAACCTTTCTGAGCCTTAACTTCATCTATTTAGTAAAAGGAAACAATGTATTTCATAGAATTGTTAAGAAACTCAAACAAGAAATCTTTGTGAAATGCTTGTTATTAAAACTTTATTTAAATGTTCTAAAATTGGACACTTTTCCAAAATTTTCTTGATGTTCTTGAGTATTTTTTCACATTATGTTGAGAATAAGTTTTAAATCTCTGCTTCCCTCCTCCCCCCAATTTTTTTGGGATTTTTGATTTGTGTTTTTTAAATGTATAAAGTAAAAAATATGTATGTTAGGAAGAAGCAGCATCTTTACATTCAATCTTATAATGTATCTATATAGTTTCACATTTACCTTGCTAAAATTATTAACATGTTTATCATTTGTATTATTTTTGCAGTTATAAATAGGATCTCCTTTCCTTCTTTATATTGTTATTGGTGTTTAGGAAATCTTTTGATTTTTCCTTTTTCATCTTTGTCTTGTTACTTCATAGATTCTGACAGTTATCCTTGATTCTCTTAGATTTCTCCAGTATATAATCATATCCTTTAGAAGTAACAGTGTTTTCCTATTTCTTTCCTTTAGTTTCATTTTAAATTTGCTTTATCTACAGTGCTAGTTGATAAACTTGGTACTACAGAATCTTGAGAATTCAAGATGAACTTGGTTTATATGTGATCCTAAATTTGCCTTCTTTAGTGTGGGGCTTTAGATATCATGTATTAGGGTAAGAGCAGCTAATTTTGATCCCAAAACAAAATTTGGTGACACAGTAAAGTCCTACTCTCCCCCCACCCCACTTAAAAATCATGGTAAAATATACATAAAATTTACTATTTTAACCATAAAAATACCTACATGTTGGGTAATTTTCAGAGGCACCTCTTTGTTGGAGAAGTGAAATTCTTGATATTTCACCTTGAATCATTAGTGACTAAATGACATTTAGTGTCTGAAGCATTTTCCGAGTTAATATATGTGGCATGATAGGATGAACACCCAGATGCTTTTTTACTTTCTTTGGGGATGGATTTTTATACTTTCATATCTTAAGTTAATAATATGGTTAGAGAGATCAACATTTTAAAACTAATTAAAGATAATTCACTGTACAAAAAATAAGAAAGATACACATTTCTGCTAATTTGGAACTACATTCTTTTAATGTAAATATTTTGTCTAATATTTCAGGTTGATCCTTAGAGTATATGGTTTTGACATAATTATTATGTCTTACATGTATTGCAGGTCACCATATCATCAGCCAACCTCTTACAGGCCAAGGTTATTGCTGTCTGGAGAACGAGGCTCAGGTCAAACTTCTCACCTTGCTCCAGCACTTTTGCACACTCTAGAAAAATTCTCTGTGCACAGACTAGATCTTCCAGCACTTTATTCAGTTAGTGCCAAAACACCTGAAGAATCATGTGCACAGGTAGGTTTGTGTCAGTTCAGAGTATTTCCAATTTGCTTATTGTTTCTAGCTCAGTATTTATATTTTTTTCAAAGAGTGATAATACAAATACTGACTTTTGTTGATTATTCGTTAGTATTCTAGGATAAAGGCAAAGGATGCTTTTGAGATATAACATTTGTTAAAAGTGAACTCATTGTTTTTCTCATGATATGTTTCTGAAATTTTAATATCCTGTTTCTTGTATTAAAATTTCATTAAACATCATAGAAAAGGTGTTTCTTTTGCCTTTTCCATTCTTTTCAAAACTAATTCCAGAGCCTTTCTAAAATCAGTCTTTACTAAGATCTTTATCATAGAAAGGGAAATGAAATTCGCTTTGAGATACTGGGAATTAAAATTAACATAGAGAAGTAATACCAATTGTAAAATTATAGATATTTGTATCAGTAGTCCAGTGTGTTTGATATTTGGTTTTCAGCTATTTTGTATTTGCTGGTTTGTGAAGCAAAGTTCCAATGGGACTGTTTATATTTTTTTGACATTTTAATGTGCAACTGAATTTATTGAAAGTGTATTACATTGGTTCTATGGAATAGGGCATCAGTTTTTTGAGCCAAAGGACCATGTTTTCACTATTTCTGTGTTACAGTGTATCACTGTGATACAGTACCCAATTCAAAGTAAGTGTTCATTAAATCTTTGATTAATGTTTCCAATAAATAAATTAGAGGAATGCCACTCTCTACTTCAATATGTAGCCTATTTTTAGAGATTAAATGACCTGAGTAGTAACATTTAAGAGCCTTGCACACAATTTTGTTGTTTTTTCAGTGGCATTTATAAATATTTAAAACATATTCAACCTAATTGAAACCATTCTGTACCTCATAGAAATACATATAATATACGCACATATACTTTTTAGACAGTTAATAATGTCAGTCTAATTTTTCACAGTCTTCTGGGTATGAACATTCTAGCAGTGCTTCTCTACATATAAACCCTATTTTAAAGTGTCTTTTCAAAACCCAAGACCTCAATAAAACGTCATATATCTGTAGTTTGCTCCATGTTTATGCATTTAACTCAATTTGACTGTGTTACTCCAATAATGTTGACTTACATGTTGGCTCATGTTACTCCTTTTTGGTGAGTCATAACTATTGCAGTTTGTATGCAAGTAAGAGAATTACTTAGTAGTATTTGAAATTAATTCAATTGATTAATATAAAATATAATTGTAAATTAGCAAAATTTACCCTATAGGAAAGAGCAGCAAAAACACTAGTGATGGAAGAAGATATTGAGCAAGTGTCTAAAAAGCTCTACACCTTAAACCAGATGGTTTCACAAGTGAATTCTTTTAATCTTAAAGGATAAGATCATTTTGGTTCTAAACTGATCAAAAGCAGAGAGAAAGAAAGCTACCTGTGAAACTAGCAAAATCAGTGATAACAAAGTTTAAAAGAAACAGAAAACTGTAGACTAATTTCACTTAGATTTTGATCATAAAGAAAATATTACACATGGATCTAGCGCACATAAAAGAACAATATTCCATTATTAAGGCATGCAAGATTGATTCTGTTAGTATTGAGATATATATATATATATATATATAGAGAGAGAGAGAGAGAGAGAGAGAAAGAGAGGCAAAGATGCACTGAAGTAATACATATTTGCCTGTGATGTGATTGTCTATTTGAAAAACTTGTAGTATCAACTGAAAAGCAATTAGGGACAATAAGAGAATTCTGTCAGTTAGACACATTCAAAATTAATATTATAAAATTAGTAATTTATTTTATACAAACAAGAGCAATTTAGAAATAGAACGGAAGGTCCCATTTTAAATAGCAACTAAGTTTACCTAGAAGTTAACTTAGACAGTTAATGAGCTGAGCCTAAAGAAGAAATGTAAATATTCAGTTGAGGACAGTTGAATAAATGAAAGATACAACTTATTTTTTAATTTCTATGCAGCATTCAAAGCATGGACTCATGTCACAAAGTGTGGACTCAAATCAGATTAAAATCTCAGTGACTGCACATACTACTTAACTTGTTGAGTCTTAATTTCCTCATCTGTGAAATTAAGAAAATAATACCATATAAGGTTATTGTGATTACTAAAATAAGCCCATTCTGTAGGTTCAGCACACAGTACCCAGGAGAAGTGAGCTGTTGTAATGTTTATTGGTACTACTACTGCTATTTTGATAACGAATGACTAATAAGAGTCAAAATTAGAAAGCTGGGAGTTCTTTTCTGAAATAATATGCAAATTAAGTGCAGTCTTAATTACAGTAACTGCAAAATTTAAGAGGTTAAAAAATTGCTTGGTGTTTCTTCTGGAAAATAAATACAAGTGTAATAAGGCCAATTCTAGAGGAAAAGGTATAATGAAGGAGCCATACCTGGTTTTTGAAGAGGTAATAAAACTACAGTAATGAAGAATTTTTACATATGTAGGGGTAAACAAGCAAAGTCATAAGAAAAAAGAGAGAATTCACAACTGAGGTATGTATAAAAATGAGAATTTAGCCTATGATAAAGATAAGGTGATCTTGAGCATATGAGAATGATGATATGATAATGATAATTAGTAAATGTTGATGGTGGTAATGATGAGGATGACAACATATACCAGTTGATGGGATAGATAGATCTATCTATCTATCTGGAAAAATTGGCTACCTTTATGAGGGGGAAAAAGAAAAACAAAACTAGATTTCCGTCCTTTTTTCTGTAGTCCAAAAATAAATTCTAGGTTGTTAATGAAACTATAAACTATTACTTATATTAGGAGAATTCACAAGTTCATATATTTGTTATTTTGAACATGAGAAAGTCATTTATATGCAATGAACAAAAGTTAGGAAATAAAAAGATATAAACAAATTTGACTCTAAAATTTTTAATTTTGCATGGCAAAAACATTCTTTAAATAAAATTAATAGATATCTGGTAAAATTATATTTGTAACAAGGACAAGTTTCCTAAATATACAAAAGGATGTTAAATTCAATAAGAAAAAAGAATGACAGCCTAATACAAAGACTGGCAAAATAGGAAACATGCCATTTACAGGTGAGAGAAAAAAAGAAAAGGCAGACAGTAAAAATTTGAAAATATTGTTAGCCTCACTTACAAGTTAAAAAAAAAAAGGTTAAAGGGGCCTCCCCGGTGGCGCAGCGGTTGAGTGCTGGCTTGCGAAGCTGCCCGCGGCCTCTGCGGCGCCGGTTCGATCCCCGGCTGCTCCCCAGCCACTGGAGGAGGGTCCCACATGGCGCGCAGACCTCTCCTGCCGCCCGCTGCTCCCCTCAGCAGTGTACTTCGGTCCTTCTGCCTGTTCTGCTCCCCGCTCTGGCTCTGGTGAATTCTCTCACCCTTCCACACTTCTGACTGTACCCAGTGCATGTATAAACAAACAAACAAACAAACAAATAAATAAATAAAAAAAAACATGCCTCTATAAAAAAAAAAAAAAAGGTTAAAGCAACAGAGTACTATTACATAGCAGCAATCAGGTTTGTAAAAATAAGGTCAGTAATGCCTTGCGGTGGAGAGGTGAGACATGCTGGTTAGTGGAAATGCAAATTTATTTAACAAGTCTGGAGTGTAGTTTAACACTGTCTTTTAAAAATTCAAGTACATAATATCTTTGACCTAGGACTTGTACATTAAGGATTTTTTCCTAAAGATACATTAGCTGTGAGTGTTCACTGCTGAATGTACCAATATATTCATTACTGCGTTGTATATAACTGCCTAACAAAAGGAGACATAAAAAAGAAACAAACCAAATATCCCTTAATGGTGAATTTCCAAAATAAATTATGGTATATCCTCACATACAAAGAAATGTAAAACCATTAACATGGATCAGCTAGATATACAGTGACTGATACGGAAAGATGATGGAAATATTAGTAAAAAGTGGCATGTATATCAGTCTAAGGGTGATCTTTGTGTCAAAAAGAAAAAAGACATCAGGTCATTTCATCTTCTCTGCTTTGTCCCATTACTAGTGGAGCTTATTTTTGAATGACCACCCAGCAACTTAGTGAGAAGCCCAGACTTCTTTGGAACACTGGCCAGCAATCAGAAACTGTCCTAGTTTATACTTGATTTTTTTGTATCTTAAATGCATATTTAAAATTACTTTAAGTTCATAATTATAATACTTTCCAACAAAATTATCCCCAAAGAGCCTATTATATAATGAGACAAGAATTTTTTCTTGAAAGAAAGTTTTTTTTGGCAAGTTTGTCTATAAATAGGTATAAAATCCCAGGGAAGAGAGAACTTACGAATACGAGCACTGAAGTGGTGGGAAAACCCTTTTCTTCTATATTCTGTTTCTGCCTTCTTTCCCTTGGGAACAAGTCCTCCAATAGGCAGGATTATTTCTAAGTAGATGTGGAATGTGAAGTTTCAGTCAGTGGTAAGTCATTCTTCTGTGCTTTTCTCTTTCTCCCAAACTCTAGATACTCAATTGAGTTCTTTACAAGTGTAATGCGAACGTGAAAGACAGCCTTAAAGGAAAGTAGTCTTAAATGATCTTTAAAGATCTGTATTTATATGTGAGAGAAGATGAAATGGGGGAGAACCCTACTTGGTATTTCTTTAGCCTGTGGGAATCCTGTTTAATTATATCTCCTTTCTTTGAACATATCTACATACAAGTCTTTATATTACAAATTTTCTTTCTCTTTCTGATACCGTGGGTACTCATTAATATGATTTGTTGGGTTAAAAACTGAAGGACTTAGTATATGTTATAGGGTTTTCTCAATGTTTCTAAGATTTAGTGCGCTTATAAAAACGTCTGATTCCCTGGCTCCACACTCACAAATTCTGTCATTAAATTTGGGCTGAGCCCAAGGGATCTGTACTTTAAACGTGCATCCCAGGTGTTACTGTTCTAGATTTTTACTAGATCACACTTTAAAATGTAGTACTTTAGTTCATCATTGGTTCAACATTTATTACTGAGACAAATGCCAGAGTTCATA